AAAAACTGCTGGAACCAGATTCCATAGTCACTTGTACCCCTGGGGAAGCATTCTAACAGAACTCAAGTCTGTCCTTGAACTTCTTCCCTCTTTTCTGTTTTTGTCAATTTTGGTTGTTTTTTTTTCTTCCTTCACAAACTCCACCCCCCTTCCCAGAACGGCCTGAAAGAATACCATACCCACTTCCCCATTTTGCTTTCTTATCCACATACAAAACTGGAAGCCGTTGCAGCATAACAATCTCAAAAACAAATGAAAATGGTAGCTAAAGACTAGATTAGAAGAGAGAGGCATTGCGACCCGTTGTCCCTTCGTTACCTCTAAAATAAAATGAAAAACTCCACACGCCCCTGCTTGTAAAGTTCTGAGCTCACACCACAATATCACCACGCGAGCGTAATCTTATCATGACCCTTTCCACTCCCCTTGTACAAAGCGAGGAACGAAAGAATTCCAAGATTCGGGCAGGTACTGTAAAAGAGAAAGGAGAGTGCTCTTTCCCCTAGTGGAAATTCTAGTAGAAATGTTTACTTTGGTGTCTGCTGGCCACCAGTACCTTCCATTTCCGAACACTTCAAACCCCAGTACAGTACAGCATCGCTGTAAAGAGAGTTTTCCATTCTACTGGACATTGTTAGCAGTACCTCACCGCTGAGCCGTTACCAGTTCGGACCATTAGAAACCCAACGCCAATTTCTACTGGCACACATTGGCACACACTAGAGTTTCCACTAGGCGCAGGCTGGTTGTGATTTCTCTGCACTCCAGGCAATGACAGAACACTCCCTCATTTCTTCTGGTCCTTTTCCCCCCCAAAGCGAAACCTGTTGATTTTGTTTTGTATTTCATTAGCAGCAAGGGAGATGAGTATTTTATTCTTTGCCCCCGTCGGGCAGATTTGTCCCCGCTGGTTCTCCGGGGTACCCGCCTCTCCTCACCCTAGGAGCGCCACTGGGATAACGGCAGACTCCAAGGCTCCTCTCCCACAAATCCTCTCCCGCACTCTTCTTCTCTCCGTTCTTTCCGAGGGGAAGTTCAGGAATTTGCTCGTCGCCTGTATACCTTGCGATCAACTCAACAATAGACTCTTAGAAATAGAAAATGCTGCTGGCTGTACAAAGTTCCCCCGGCTTCCTAATGCTTTCACGTGCCAGGGTCTAAGGGACAGTCCCGCCTGTCCTGACATCAACTCGTGTTTTCCAAGACCGAGAAAGAACGGCAGGCTCGATCCTCTTCTCCCCTCGTTTTTCCGAAATCCAACACGTTTGTTTTTTTTTGCTCGTGTGTATTTCCCCACCCGTTCGCGTGCCAGAAGACGAGGACCCCCCCCAAGCTGGGAGAATTCAGCACCACCAGAGCCACGCGGCCCTCCGGGCCCGCCTTTCCTCGTCTCGCTCGTGCTCGTCCGGCTCCTTCCGGCGGCGCGTAAGAAATCCACTCCCTTCTCTTCCTCCCCTGTCGCGGGAAATCCCTCTCGCACAGTTTTTCCTCTGAACCCAATCCCGCCAGCCCCCGCGATTGTGAGGATACACGAACGTGACGGACGTCACCAGAGAAACGGATTGGGGGGCGGGGGGGAGTTCGGCTGCAGACCGCCATCGAAAAACACGCGCTTGGTGATGAGAGAGGGCAGGGGGAGACTGGGGAGATGAGGAAGGGTGGGGTCACGGGAGAAACCAGGGGACTCATCTGTTTTTCTTGGATGCCATTGGCATACTCTTCATGCTGTATCCTGCCAGCCCCTTTCCCCCCGGCACCCCGCTATCTGCATCCCCCACCTCCTCTTCCCCGCGTCCCCTCTGCCTGCCCCCCTCCTCTTCAGTCCAGGAGGCGGAGGTGGGGGCTGAGAAGAGGTAGCCCTGGGGGTCCAGGCCGTAGAACAGCCTGCCCTCCTTGGTCCCTCTCAGACTGGCGTGGTCCAGGCTGCCCGTGCTGTTGCACTTCTTCGCCAGAGGGGGAGCCAGGGAGCCCGGCGAGAGCAGCGATGTGAGAGACATGCTGCTGAGAGTCTCGGACAAGAGCTCGCTGTTGCAGGCCTGACTGGAGCCCCCGCCGATGACCAGGTCGTCATCCGACGGCTCCATGGAGTCCTGCCGGTTGCAGCTGGGGCTGGTGCTGCTGCCCCCGCTGCTTTGACTCCTCTGGTGCCCCCTGCTGGCCTGGAGGCTGAAAGCGGCCGGGGAGTTGGCGGCAGCCCCCAGTCTCACCCTTGCGCTGCCGAACTGGGGGTGCCGCTGTGCCACCGGCTCCGGGGGAGTGTTACTGCACAAGGCCGGGGTGTTGTCATCACTGGGAAGGGGGCACAACAGGGGAAGATCCAGCTCCCTGGGGGGGGAGACGCTGAAGCTCAGGCCCTCCTCCAGCGTGGTCTGCAAGCTGCCCTCTGAACTGCCCGTAGCCAGGGAGGAATCGCTGAGGGCCGCGTGCTGGAGGAGGGAGAGAGAGGACGACGGGGTAACGTTAGTGCCCAGTGGGCCAGCGGTTCTGAGGAGCACCGTTAACTCTTCCACAGGGGAGAGGCCACGATAAAATCCCTAAAGCAGAGGGAGCAGAGAACAGAGGTCACCCAAGCAAATCTAAACAAATCCCAGTGATAAAATACAGCGAGCTCACAGGCACTGGTTACTAACTACAGTAAGTAACCACTGTTTCCAAGACTGCTGAATCTTTATATAACCCGCTGATAAGAAGGACCAGGACTCTCCAGGACCAGAGGTGTGGACCACTGGACTAGACAAGGACAAGACCACAAGTCAGGGGTGAGACACCGAGACCCGTGTCCTCCAGGGCTCTCCTCTGGCTGGCGGTGGGAGCCCTGCAATCAGATCGGGTACCGCGGGGCTCACCTGCATGGTCAAGTCTCTGCTGTTGGCGCCAGGAGACCTCAGGGACGCCCAGGAGGCTGGCGAGGTCAGCCTGCCCCCGCCCCTCTTCTGGGGCCCTCCCGCGCTGCTGGGGGCGGCCGCGGCGGCGGCGGGGTGGAAGAATTCGGCAGGGAGGTGAAAGAGAGACGAGCTGCCCCCCCTGCTGCCACTGCGGGCCCCCTCTGGAGAAGGAGACAGGCGGAGGCGTGAGACCCGCTCGCGCGGCCCGGGGTCCGGATCTCGGCGCAGCCTGGGGGCTCAGTCATTTGCGTGCGGCACGGGGTGTCATTACGACAGAAAACTCAACAGCATTTCTTGTGTGCACCGGCGGGCAACTCAAACAGTCAGCGTGATAAGTCAGTAATTGTGCCTATCCATCACTGTGCCAGTCATTGCGCCCGTCAATTAATACGGCATTCAATCAGTGTGTGCCAGCCTGTGTGACAGTCAATTATTGCCATACAATCTATCAGTGTGTCAGCCAATTAATAAACCTTTCAGTCGAGATGCCAGTCCGTCTATCTGTGTGCCATTCAGTCAGACAATGTGCCAGGTGGTCAGTGTGCCACTTATTAGTTAGTTGCCATTCAGATAACCAAGATAACAGTTAATCAGTGTACCGTTTTGTCAATCAATGTGCCAGGTGGTCAGTGTGCCACACATTAGTTAGTGTGCCATTCAGATGACCAAGATAACAGTTAATCAGAGTACCGTTTTGTCAATCAATGTGCCAATTAGTCAGTGTGTCATTCATTAGCCAGTGTGCCATTCAGGCGACCAACATGCCAGTTAGTGTGTCATTCAGACAATGAACATGCCAGTTAGTCAGTGTGTCATTCAGGCGATCAACATGCCAGTTAGTTAGTGCGCCAGTCAGACAATGAACATGCCAGTCAGTCAATGTGCCAGTGGGCCATGCTGCCAGTCAGGGGTACCTGCGCTGGGACAGGGGAGCTGGCTGCCCAGCTCAAACAGCGCTCCCCCATCCTCTGCCCCTGGGCTCTGGGGCAGCGACCCTTGACCTCCAGGTTGGCTTCCCCCTAGCTCCTCAGAACTGCGGGACTCACTGCTTCCTCTCTCTTCCTGTGCACACGGAGCACACCAAGAGCAGGCCATCAGCACAGACGCACAGGGGTTACAGCCTGTTTCCTGCCTCCCCGATCACCCTGAAATCTTCAGCTTAATGGCATCTAATAGGTGATAATAAAGATCTCCCACAATCATGGGGTTGTGTGTATTGGGTCTTTGCAATACCGTCTTCAGTTCCCTGCGTTCTTGAACATCATTTAAATATCAGAATGTGATGAGGAACTCAATTAAACGCTGAAGCCAGGAGGCATGAATTACCACAAAGGGTTGTGGGAGTCTGGAACGTGTAACCCAGCTACACTGTCAAAAGCTGATAAACAGGCTTCTTTCAAGATGAGCTCCTCTTATCACTGAGCTACTAAAAATCCCAAAAGATAGTTAGGCTTATTGGTCTCCCCTCATTTATAACCTTTCTTACATTCTTCTCCTCCACCAGCACATGACTCATACGCTGGGTAAGTCCCTATTTGCATTTCAAATGTGTCCACACTGCCAATACCCTTCACAGGAGGTACATCTACTGTAAATGAACTCTGCTGTGGCTATCTAGTAGGTAGTGATTAGAGTGATGTCATCAGCCTGCGCCAGCCCCCCACCTTGCCATCCCGCACTAGGAGCTGGTACACGCTGTGGTCGTCCAGGCTGAGGTCATCAGGCAGCGCCAATGACGAGGACTTGTCCGACATCTGCTCTGACATCAGAGACGCCTGCTCCACCTCGGCCAATCGGATCTTTGAGAGACAGAGAGGCAGAGGAAGTCACAAAGTGTTTCATTTTGCCCTCATAACACGTTAACCAAAAAGATAAGCTCAGGAAAACGGTTCTGCAGGAAAATTACCTGTTCCTGATCTGAAACTGCCTGGATGTGGCCTATTAGTGTGTATCCGTGTGTGACTGAGCGTGGATTCAAGCACAAGCTTGCGTGTCTGAGTGGGTCTGGGTGGGTCAGAGTGGTTTGGAGTGAGTCGGAGTGGGTCTGGGTGGGTGTTGGTGGGTCTGAGTGGGTCGGAGTGGTTCGGAGTGGTTCAGAGTGGGTCTGGGTGGGTGTTGGTGGGTCGGGGTGGGTCGGAGTGGGTCTGGGTGGTTCGTAGTGGGTCGGAGTGGGTCTGGGTGGGTGTTGTTGGGTCTGAGTGGGTCGAGGTGAGTCGGAGTGGGTCTGGGTGGGTCTGGGTGAGTGTTGGTGGGTCTGAGTGGGTCGGAGTGGGTCAGAGTGGGTCTGGGTGGGTGTTGGTGAGTCGGGGTGGGTGTTGGTGGGTCTGAGTGGGTCGAGGTGAGTTGGGGTGGGTGTTGGTGGGTCTGAGTGGGTCGAGGTGAGTCGGGGTGGGTGTTGGTGTGCGCGGCTGTGTGGGAGCCTGTCTTTCCCAGCAGACCCGAGTGAGTAAGCACCTCTTGCCGGTGGTGGCGGCAGTCCTTGCACACCGGCGGGGAGGAGTAGTGGTGGAAGACAGAGCCGGAGAGGTTGTCGATCATCAGCAGCTCCCCCTCGAAGGAGTCCTTGATGAGCAGGGACACGCTGTCCAGCCACAGGCTCTCCTGCGGGGCAGGAGGGGAGAGGGAGGGGGTAGGTGCATAATAAAGTTGGGGTTTCAGTACCAAGGGGACATGCTGTATTAATTGTTCTGTGCAAGTAATGGAGCACAGAATTTCTGTCTGTCACACAATCCCTTCTGGAAAGAAGCCAAATGGGCAGAATTTCATATTCCAAGGAAGAGCACGTTTCCAAGCACAAATTCCGAGTCAAATTCCGTTGTTTCTGCTGGATCTTTCTAACATGCAACAGCGTTCCTGATCTTTGAGCAGACTGCCCAGGCTTGAGGTGCCCAGGGCATGTGAACATGCCGCAAAGCGCAGTCCAGCTTGGGCAGCTGGTCAGGAGGTGGTGTGTCTTGTGTAAGGGGAAACCAAGCGCAGGCAGAGCCAGTCAATACGGCGCTCGGCATGGAGCAGCACGCAGACTGGCCTCCTGCTGTGAAGCCCCAGGGCGGCCCTCTGTCAAGGGCTTGATTGACAGGCCCTGCGCTGTTCAGGGCTGTGAGCACGCCGGCTGACCCTCGCGCACCGCACCCCGCTAATTTGGCTGCCGATTTCCCACAGCCCAAACCGTCATGGCTCGACGGCGCACAGCCAGAGCTTTCTGCAGTTACTAACAACCTGCAGTTCTTCTCTCTTTCTTCATACTGAGGCCCTCGAAAGAGTTCAGCTGGCACGAATACGGTATACGCACACAGATCTGTCAGACTGATCGCATTGGAGGCTCTGTGATTGAGCCACAGAGCAGCTACAGTAAAGCACAGGTGATGGACGACCTGTATAATTAACTCTGGCTGTTTCAGAACACTAAAAGCAAAGCTGAGCTCCACTGCACATGAAGCCCAACGTCAGCAGCTACGCCAGCCAGCTATCCTGCCCTTATAAGCCTGATGATCCCTCTTTCTGGCCAGTGACAAACATGCATGTACAGTATGTATCTTACAGGGGAGACCTGTCATGTTTGGGATGTGTTTTTGTGGTTCGCTTTATTCCATCTACCTTAAGCCAATTGAGAAGTTAGCTCTGATGGTTCTGTCTTCTAGCACTGCGAAACTGGCATATACAGTATGTACTCCCATCATTCAGAGCGACTCGTGGCTATTAAACACGCCGCAGACATGAAAAGATGCTCCCTGCACAGTACATGTCTGTCCACCTGTCTCTCCTAAGGTATACCGGCCAGCGCTGGACCGGTTTGGACAGGCAGATCAGGCAGAGAGATACTGGAGCTCTTTCCCCGTGACCCAGCGGCTGCCCGGCAGCGACAGAGACAAGTGGAGTGTGTTACTCACTCCTCTCACCCTGACAGCCTGTGTGTGTGTGTGTGTGTGTGTGTGTGTGTGTGTGTGTGT